GGAGGGGGGATATGGTTAAAGGGAGACCTAAATTATGTAACAAAAGGGATGATGTTCAAACTCAGTAAAGATATGTGATACAAAAACGGATTATATTATTTTTAATTACTAGTATTTATTATTATTTAGACTGGTAGCTGGAGAGGTGCCAGTTTCACCTCCTGTGCTCTGCCGTGGTGCCCTTGAGCAAGGCAACCTTACCCCGAAACCTGCTCATGGGGCGCTGCTAACGTGGCAGCCCCATCACTCCACCATCTCTCGTCATATGTCCACATGTTTATGAAGTGTGCATTTCAGTGTGTGTGTATAAAAAAGAGTGAAAAACTTAATTTCCCCTAGGGGATCAATAAAAGTACATCTTCTTCTTCTTCTTCTTCTTCTTCTTCTTCTTCTATAAGACTATTCATATATGTCATGAGTGCCACCTCTTTGAAAGGTAGTTATACAACCTTGTGCTATAATGACAAATATATTTTCCTTGATTTCTTGATTTTGATAATTATGCCCCTGTTGGAGTTCTATTCATCAATATACGAAATAAATACATAAATAAATGTCATTCAAAAGACTTCAAAAGAAGATTCTGAATGCCTAAAAAATGCCATTTTGAAAAACAAAACAAAACGAATATTTCAAAAATACACAACAGCACAGTCCCCAGCACAGACCAATTTCCAATCCGACTTCTATCTACCACCAGGACAGGTAGGCTTATATGTTACATCTTAACCTTTAATAATATTATATTTACTTTTAATTAATAATATATTTGATGTCTTGTGTAACTTGTTTCTATTGTGAGAATATGCCTCATGTTAACTGCATGTCACCATGAGAAGGACTGGCCAACATATCCTGTCAATATAACAGTTAGTTAAAGCTGCAGTAGGTAACTTTTATGTGAATAACATTTTGTCATATTTACTGAAACTTTCACTATATCCTGACAGTAGTAACGTTAGATGAGACAGATAATCTGTGAAAAAGTTGTACAGTATCGGCTTCCTCTGGCTCATTATAGGGCTCCTGATGGCATTTGCAAGAATCCACCTGGCCTGAATAAAAACAACCAATCAGAGCTAAGAAAGATAGTTGATTGTTGAGTCTCATCAAATACAAACAGATGCTTTGAAACCCTGGGAATGAGACTCAACATTCAACTATGTTTTTTATATCTTTCTCAGTTCTAATTGGTTGTTTTCATCCAGGCCTCTTGGATTCTTGCAAATGCCATTGGGAGCACTAGAACAAGCAGAGGAACTAGATTTTTCCACAGTCTGTGAGGATACAGTGAACATTTCAGCAAATATGACAAAAAGTTATTTTTGTAAAAGTTACCTACTGCAGCTTTAATACAGATGTATCATACCATCACAGTCTTAAAGCCAGTTTAATGCAACCAATGTATGAAGTCCTGTACTTTGTGAACTGTCTATGTGAATGCAGCTACAGTTTTGAATGATGTGTCCTGGTCTTAATAATGCTATCTGCGTAAACTGAAATCACTGCTGGAAATAAAATGTTATTGAATGCTAGTCAGAGATTTATGATCCCGGTCTTATGACGTTAACTAGTTACTGGGGAAGGTTTGTGCAGCAGGTCCACTTAAATAAAACCCTGAATGCCCCATTCTGACCATTAATAACTAAATAATAAATAAACCTTTGGCTGGTATTCATCCTTTCTATTTGGTAATAACAATCAATAATAATAATACATACTTAATAGGTTGATCCTGTGCAGATCCTTCTCTGGAAGTGGTCATATCAGTGTTTACACATGAATAGCTCTAGTCTAGAAATCATGATCAACCATTAATTTATAACCATTTGTTACAACTTTTAACTTTCAATTAAAAGTGATAACCTGAATAAATCAATAAGTAAGTAAATCGATTGAAACCATATATAAATAAATAAATAAATATAAAATTAAATGTATGATTAAATAGAAACATGTACCCGACGTAGAGGGGCAGTAAGCTACGTCACTTCCTGCACGTGGTCGCGGCCCAAATTCCCGCCCGGAACCGTCGTTTGTCAACACTGTTGTGCTGCTCAGCCCCTCTGTGTCTTTGTGTCCTCTTCACCCTCTTTTATTATCAGAATGGCAACAAGTAAAGACGACGCAGACATCGAAGATATTCTCGCCAACGAGGAGGAGCTGGAGAGGGCTCTGTGTGTGCTGGCTGGGAGCGACCCAGAAAACTGCTCCTATTCCCGGGTAAGAACACCTTCCTGCACCGCCATCGCCGCCGGTCCGATCCCAAACACAAGGACTGACATTTTAAGATGTAGCATTGTGTGTTAATTGTTAATAAATCACATGCAAGCATTAGTGTTCTGTTGTAGTTCCTAAAGGCCACTCAAGAGTGAGTCCTTTTGTTTGGTATCACTGCAGTATATCTAATGTACCCTGATTGTTTAATAGAGAAAACCAGTAGTCCTTATTCAAGGGGGCATGGTATTAAAAGTGTATATACTGCAGTATAATTACTGCCTCCTGTGTTTGTGCTTACAGGGTTATGTGAAGAGACAGGCTGTATTTGCCTGCAACACCTGCACCCCCAGTGCTGCAGAGCCTGCTGGGATTTGTCTGGCCTGTGCCAATAAATGCCACGATGGACATGATATCTTTGATTACTTTATACCATTAAGGTGTTATTATTTCAAATTTTTTGTTTTTTAGACAATAACATCTGATACCAGTTAGATTCCACTATTTACTTGATAATTTTTTCATAAATTTCTGTTTCTTTGTTGTTGTTTTTTTTCTTTAGAAATTTTCGCTGCGATTGTGGAAATAGCAAGTTTGGGGAATTCAAGTGCCAACTAACTCCTGTGAGTCCTCTGGTTTTAATAATATTTCTTATTGAATCTGTGTGTGTCTGCTGTTCACGTTCTGATTGTTGAAGCTATTCTGTCTCTTGTACTTTCAGACTAAAGATGAGGAAAACATTAGAAATCAATACAATCACAACTTCAGTGGCTGCTATTGCACGTGTGACCGTCCGTACCCAGACACAGACGACCAGGTACTCCTTCTATTTTTATCTCTGGGATGAAATCTACTGTTTTTGTTTGTCTGTCACTACACAAAACACCTTTTTAATTACCCCATAGGCTAACGATGAGATGATTCAGTGTGTCGTCTGTGAGGATTGGTTTCATAGCAGGGTAAGATAAGTGATGTTGTTGAAATTAAATGCTTTATGAGCACTTCTTTGATTTTGATTTAAATTTTATTTATTTATTTACTACTATAAACCTTCTTCTGTGGTCATTTTGTTTGTCTTTCACAGCACATGGGCTGCACTGTAGTGGAACCTGAGGAGCTGCAAGAGATGGTATGCGAGGCCTGCATGAACAAGGTTCCTTTCTTGTGGACGTATGCTGCGCACTTTGCAGGTAATAGTTTAAGAGTTGCTTGTCACAGGCAGCAAAGGCCAACTCATATGTGCTTTGCATACATTTAACAATAAAACCCAGAGAGAGTCATTTTCCCTGTTGCCTTTACCCCTTTAGTACCACCTGTGATCAGCGTCAGTCATCCTGAGGAGGAGGCACAAGTCGATGTGGAGGAAGGAGCAGAAAAGCAGGAAGACTCTGAGCCCTGTCAGAGTGGGAATGAGGAACCGTCCACCAGTGCTGAGCACACAAAGCAGGTGAGGAACAGTGCTTATAAGGGCTGCCTCTATTTATATTGTGCATGGAGGGTTTTCCATATGTAGAGCTAAAACAGACAGTGGGGACTTAAAGTGAACAGCAAACCCTACTGAATCAGTGCTGGTGCTGCATTCACGTCATATGGGATGGCTGATAAAGATGGGAAAGATTCCTGTGTCAGCGACTTCCAAGCATTCACGTCATCAGACAACTTAAGGCATTTGACTGATTAGAGAGTTGGTTGGTCCATTGATAGTATAACAGTATATCCATAAAACTGTGTTAAATTACATGGAACGACTGTTTGCATGTTTGTTTGGTTTTCTGGCATTTTCATATTATAAAGTTGAATATATCTGAGCCTTCAGAAAATCCTGAGTTTCCCCATCGCAGTTGCTACTTGGATTTGATGCGATCGGCATTTAGTCGGAAACTTGTAATTAGTGGTAATTACAGTAATTCCTGTATGGCAGGAATGCAGCATCATCACACTCCACTAACCCTGCACAAAAGCGCATGTACCAGAGATAAGAAGAAACATAAATTTAGGTTTCCTCTTGCTACTTATCCATTCATAGATTTGGTTGTTTTTACCTTAAGATGTGCACATGGTTGATTTTATTTGTTTATTTTAAGAATCAATGTTTCCTAAATTAATGTCACTTGTCTTGTACCCATACTATAAAAGCAGAGATTGATTAAAAAAAGTAGCACATTCAGTGTTTTGATTTATTATTAAAAAGCACATTATAAAATAAACTGCTTTGTACCTCTGGCTCAGTTTGTCACTGGGCATTGTCTACACGGTAAATAAACTAACAAAAGGCTGAGTGAGCATTGTGTGTATCCATGTTGACAGGTGCTTCCTAAATATGTAGTATGGTGAGTTCAGTTTACTTGTCTGTGTGTACCCTCCTTCATAAAGTGGAAACCATCCACACTGTGTAATGAAGGGCTTTGTTAGGAAAGGGGCTCTAGTGTTCACTGTGCACATTCCTTCTGTGGCAGCGAATGTGTTTTTGTTGCCACAAGATGGGGCTGGAGGGTAATGAGCAGATTATAAAGCAGGCTCCAGCTCCTGTTAACGTGCTTTCCCCTCCTCTGGGTAATTAGAGGAGAAATGACCCATGAGGCACTGCTTCTCCTGCTCTGTAGACTGCTTTGGCCAGGCTTCACAGGACAGCTTACTGTAAACTGGTGAGTTTCATCAGCCAATCATCTCATCGTGTCAGTCGCCTTGGGACTACCCTGGATGTGTGCAATGCTGTGTGCGGATATGTTTTACAGAAGCCCAGGTGTTATAATCCTGCCAGTTGGACACAGTGACTCACCCCATTATATGTTGTTATTGTGTATCTTAGGAAGCGGCAAACAGGAGTTCTCCTTGCAAACGGACTCATGAGGAAATGACGGGCAGCCCTACAAAAGCCATGACTAAAACTACAGTGTGCAGGCTGAAGGAGCTGCAGGTCCAGGGGCTGGAGAGGCTGAGGCAGGGAGCCGTGCTCTGGCCTTACAGTTGGCGCTCCGAGCTCTGCACCTGCACAGGCTGCAAGGTAGTCCACAAATACCACATGATAATGTAGGATTTGGCACAAGAAAGCCACTTTACAGGTGTTGGCTCTACATGTGATCCTGAATCATGTTATTGTGTACTTAGGTGTCTTTTTTTTTTTTAATGGTTCTCTGTGTTGCATTGGTGCACAGAAAGCCTACGTGGCTGCCGAGGTGCAGTTTCTTATGGATCAGTCTGACACCATTCTGGCCTACGAGAACAAAGGCTTGGACGAGCCATTTGGGCAGCACCCGCTGATGGCACTGACGAACTCAATGGACCGCGTGCAACAGCTGGAGGTCATTTACGGTGAGCATGGGGAGGGCTGAAGGGGAAGATGTGGGGTCAGTTTTCTTCCAAGGATGTAATCATGTAAGGTGAAATTTATGGGGGATGCGATTAATGGATTGAGAGTAATTAATCGTGTGCTCTTCCCTCAGGTGTCAACGAGATGACAACTGCGATCACTGCATTTTTAGACCAGTGTGTTGCTGAAGGAAAGGTGAGAAATGGATGTCTGAGTGCAAATGTAGTCAGGACGGCTAGAATTAAACATAGAACATATGAGTGGTTGATCCATCCATTAGTATTTACTTCTTTACCCAAATTATTGGTCTCATTTTACACGATGAATGTGCAGTTTTGCAGTCAAGAATCATGTTTAATGTATGCCTTTTTTTCCTTCCTCTAAATCTCAAATCTGAACCATTCTTTAACTCTATCAGACAGTCACTGCCGAAGCCGTACATCAGTTGTTCGAGGAGCTGCGGGCGAGAAAAAGACGCAGAACCAATGCAGGATACCAGTAACAAGGAGGCCATGCTGCTATCATATGGTGCTTTGAATGTATGTGTAACTTTGAAGGTGACCCTTTGTCTTTGCTGAATAAAGGGCTTCTTGCTGAAACCAATGTGATCCTAAAGCTTGAACAGTTAGTGCAAAGAGTTCCGACTTGCAGTTACTGTAGTAAAGACTTACTTCTACAGTGAAAGATTGTGAGTTCTGGGTTTACAGTGTCATTCATACTGATTTATAATGATGCCTTAATTTATACATTTACTTGAAACATTTAGAGTGCTGAAACACAATTCAGCACTCTTTTGTCTGCTTTAAAATGATTAAATCGTCCTGCTGTGATGTTATGACAGTATTTCACATGAACATGATGCCGCCATGTGTATTCTGGTGTATGTCCAGTATGTCACTTTCAGCTAAATGCCAGTGTGTTTTAATTGTTTTCTGGTGGCGGCCAGTTAAAACAAACTTGTTTGTAAAAGTAATGTGAATAAATATTACTGATTTATGTGGATTTGTGTTCTAAATAAAGTTATAACATGTTTCTAGTGCAGAAAACAACCCAACTGAGAACAGATGAATTTTCATAATATCAAACCACTTTATTTTGAGGATGCCCAAGTTGACCACTGTTATGCACCTTTTGAGGCGACAGTAGAAAAATAGATTCAGTGAAACTAAATGCAACTTAATATCAATCTACAAACATGTTTTCTAGAATACCATACAAGTACAACGTACCTGTTAATTCAACACAAGCAATCACACATTTCAGATGGTTCAATTTCAAAAAGGTGCTAAATAACACTATGTACACAAAACGAGCTACATGAGATTTCAGAGAATTATTTGATGCAGGCTGGTAAGCTGGTAGAAAAGAGCTTGCATAGACATCAAAGTCACTTCTCCAATAAAAGCCCAGCCGCAGGCAGGGGAAGGCACTGACTTCTCTACAGCAAAGAGCAAAAACAAGGGATTTTATTCAATGGAACATTGTCCTGGAAAATAAAACAACTACCCAACATGAACATGGGGAGGAATCTGGAGTTTGCATTTTTTCCCCATGAAGCAACCTAGATGGAAAATGATTTTTCTGTTTGGCAACTTCATCACTGCTAAGCTGAGAGCTAATGTCTTCAGATCCTCTACATATTCCTGTCACTTTGAAAGTAAAAGGAAAATAGGGGGGGAAAAAAACATCTACAAACATGGTAATCCACACCACCTACAACATTGAACAAACTGCCCTAATGCATAACATTTAAGAACAAAATAGATTCTGAGACACAATCTTTATGTTTTATACCACACATTCTTAGTGAGATTTCATGACAAAGACAAGTACACAGTGTTGTCCACTACAGTAAAAACACAAACCTTCAACGACCACTAAAATGTGATAGAAACCATTAAAAATTCATCAGAACATGTGGAACTCAATTCATTATATACAATTTCCATTGGAGATATGAGCCAGCAATCGCCAACTTCTCTTCAATATAAGATTCCTTTTGTTCGAAATTCATTTGTTCTTTTTCCCTTCAGCTGACAGACAGGTGGCTCCTACAGTGCAACGATAATCGTATGTGAGGTTGTATCCCAGCTGCTGGCTGTAACAGGCTTTTAATGTGTGCACTTGCAGGGTTCTGGAGCTACAACTGCCGTGGCTTTTTTAACAGTTTATTTAACAGTATCGACACTTGCTATGCAGGGCCACAATTTCCCATGAGGTGGCGAGATGGAGGCCTGGTGTATATACATGATTTTAGTATTTGGGTTCAGTGAAATCCACCTCTACCGTCCAGAAAAACTGCAGTGAATGTGTCCGTGGTGAACAGTCAAATAAGCAATTAACAGGGGTATACAATGACATCATACTTAATTGAATAAAGGTAACTAAAACTGAATATTCCAAGCACTGGTTAAGGCTTTAGATTTGATTACTTGATGCTATTGGATTAAACAGAACAAAAAGGGAGCTCTAGCGTGCAGCCACTCTCCGATATGTACAAACAGACCTGACTAAAGATGGGAGTGTACAGTACTGAGATTGTCTAAACACCTGTGTGTATCAAAGTTATCCCCGCACACAGACACACGCACACACACCTGTTCCAGCTGAAAAACCAACAAACCCCCAGCACTTGATCACTGTGCGTCAGTTGCCATGGCACCCCTATATTTTCCCACTGTATCTCAGTAATGAACCTGCCCGCGATCCTCCCCACCCCTCCTCTCTGAAAATGCCAGGCTTCTGCCTCTAAGCTAGACACTCAGAGCCTGTGATAGTTTAAGCCTGACACAATTATCAGACTGGGTTACAGGAGAATGATGAGCTCTGATGACCTACTTCCTGTGAGATCCAATTCCTGCTTTGTGTGACCAAGCGTTGGCCCATTACTCATCAGCACTGCAGAACCAGGGCCAGAAGGGGAAAACTAGTCAGGTGGGTTGCTATAGGCATGCTACAGGAAGAAATGGAAATACAAGTAATGGGAGGAAAAGAATACAGCCAGATGAATTTACATATGATTTTATCACAATACTCTGCCCCAGACTGAGTGCCACTGTTTGCTTGTGTAAATTGAGATTCCTATCCTGCCATCTTTCCATTCTATGCTGAAAATAATCAAGAGACAACAGAACCTATGAATATAGTCTTTGTTAAACCTTCAGTTCATAACTGAGCTACATCTAGTGTTGTGACCTCCTCGTGCAGGATTCACACAGCGTAGAGCCAACCTCTCTTTACAATCAAACTCAAGAAACCTATCCATCCCAGTAGAGCCTGAGTCATCCTCTAAACCAGCAGGACTAGGCAGGCTTGCAAAGATCAATTACAAGCATCAACAAATAACCCACAGCTCTTACTCTTTCCATACTTTGACTGTGTGATGGATAGCACAGTGTGATAGAGGTAGGACAAAAGGACAGATCCTATAAATAGCAACCATCGACCCCCCTTTTCCCTGCTCCTCTCAAACACACACACACACACACACACACATATATATGCAGGCACACATTTAATGCTTTGCCATCCACTGTGATAGACAGCCACTCATCACGCTTTCCCTTTTCTTAACTCAACCCCCTGGTCCTCAACTGGGGTTAAAGTGCAGATTTCTTATAAGGGTAGTCAGGCTTGCTGGGTGACCTGCGGTCTCTGGCGATCTCCTCACTGACACTGTTCCTGTGAGGCTGCTGGTGGGGTACCAGGCCTGATGATTCTCCAGATACAACCATCTCCTCCGGGGCATCTCTAGGTCCTGTGTGCCTCTCCTCATAGCTGTCCATGTTCCCACTGGGCGACCGTAAATGGCCTAAGCCATGAGTCAGGTCTGTCTCATTTGATCGCCCCCTTGGGATGTGTCCCATCCTAGGCTGGGCCCCAGAGGGGCTGGCAAGGACTCCATCATGCCTCTGAGAGGTCATACTGAGGACATCCAGACGCAGTGGGTCTGGGGCAGTCCGTCCCTGCGGGTGGCCCTGGGACTGAGAGTCAGAAATGTAGGGGGGTGGATAAGAGCTGGAGGGGGTGCAGCTGTGGCTGTAGAGGTCTGGTCCTGCAAAGGAGGGCAGGGGGTGAGTGGAGGTTGGGGTCGCAGGTCGGCAGGAGAAGTCATACAGATCAGGGAACTCGGCTTGAGCCTCCAGCTTGGGTTCAGGAGCGTGTCTCTTACAGGAGTGGCCATGTCCAGGCCCATGGCTGTGGCTGAGACGGACCGAAGGGCAGGGCCCATGGGGCAGATGGTGGCCTGGGGGGCCCATTGGGCTGTGAGGGCCTTCCCTGTCCATCTCCATGTGCTGCTCCCTCAGGGACATGACCGAGACACCCAGTGCGATGTCAGGCATGAACTCCCTCATAACAGGCTCCATGCTCATCTGCATCGGAAAACAGATACAAATGTGTGAAGTTACCTGGCAAACAAGCTATTCATGATCCCATGTACAAACCATGAAGCCCGCATTTGAATAAACAAAAAAGTAGCACAAGGATTCTAGGAAGTAACATGCACTCACCGCTTGCCGGTCTAAAAGTAAAGCTCGGCCCATAGCCTGTGGGTTGGTGCAGTCTGGGGGCTGGGGCCTGGGCGCAGAGGAGTAGTCTGAGCTGCCATGCTTGGTCACTGCATGGCGCTGGATCAGGGTGCGGTTGCAAGGATAGGAGAAGGAGCGGGTGGGGGTCGGCATGGGCACACGAGGTCGCCAGGCACCCTTGAGCTGAGCATGGCTGGGTGTGGCAGGAGGGTGGTATGGGGGAGGTGGAGGAGGTAGGGGAGGGTGGAAGCCTGCTACCCCTTCCAGCTCTGTGAACATGCTATCCATGGCTGGGCTGCTGTTTACCCGACACCGACCCACCTGGCGCAAAGCCAGTATTGGACTCTCATCTCCAAACCGTTCATCGGGGAAGAACTTATATGGGTTCTGAAAAACAAAACACAGGAGCTAGATAAGTTTGTATTAATTCTGGTGTTGACAGAGCAAACCCTATTTTAAGGTTTTTCTTAAGATTTATCTGCCTGTGGTTGTTCAAGGTCTGCTGCATTACCAGGGTCTGTGTGTCCTCAGCCTTAATGTCCCTGTTAGTATCCGAGCCTTAGCCATCTTATCCCCCTCTAACCCCTGCGGACAAACTCTGCTTTCTGCTAACCTGCAGTAGCTCAGTGGCTCCGTCTGCCAGACCAAACTCCCTCAGCACCCGCAGCTGCAGCTCGTAGCTGACGGTGGCTCCTTCACCACAGTTGAGGGCATATGCTCGCTGGACCTGCTCTGTGTGTCTCAGTTCCTGCAGCCTCCGGATCATCTCCTTTACCACTGACAGCTGAGGCACTGAAAGATGCACACAATACAAACACGTACATCAGTTTTCACAGTCACAGTACTCGAGCAGTTTGGATATTTGCTGACATGTGTGCCGGTTTCTGGTCATTGCACGACAATTTTCATACCTGGAATTTCGTTGGCCACAACCGATGGAGCTGTGGTTGAGTTGCTTGCCATTTGCTGGTGACTGATCATGTGACAGCACTGAGGCACAGCGTTGTTGACCATGTAGAGTGTGTCTGGGACGTTGGACATGCGCACTAATCGCAAACGCACCAGGTCCGTCTGCTCCACCATCATTTCATCAAGCACAGACTGAGGTAGACAGGAAAGGGCAAGTTAGACCAGAACTTCCAAAAAAATAAAAGTCCTATGTGCAACTCAAGGACACAGAGAGGGTTTGCAGATTAGTTCCACTTGATTGACACTTCATCTAATAATGACTCTCTCTGCTCTAGGGATATGTTCATAAATATTCATAGCCCTGGGAAGGCATATAAGTTATTAGGAAAAGTGTGCAAATGGACATAAATTGAATTTCAGTCAAGATGATGGAGGCAACTATTAAAAAATGGTGAGTATGCATAGAAACAACTGGGCACGGATTATTTTAGCACGTCTGAGCTATGAACAGGTCCACAAATTTGAGTCTGTCCTCTTCACAGAACCTCCCTCTTTGATGATAGC